GCAGGTTGTGCTTTGTCATGGCATACTCGTCCGAAAGGGCATCCAGGAAGAGGTGAAGGACGAAGTTTCGTTGACAGTTAGTCCTTTCTCGATTAAGGACTTTGCGGTTTGGAGCATCTCATTTAGAGCGTTTCGGGGGGTTTCACCTCTAGAGATCTTGGTCGACATCAGGGACTTGAGGTCCTCTGACGGCTGTACAGATGATTCAGGGTCGTGTATGGTCTTGAGCTTACGAAGAGCTCCCTGGGGCGTCTCTGCCCTCTTCATGATTTTCCGATTTTTTTCTTTCAACGTGTGAGACAGGAAGTTCCACGCATGGAATGCGAGCTCTACTTGCTCGCTCCGGTACTGCTGTGACAGCGAAAACTTGCTCTTTCCGCTGTTGACGGGGATCTCCAAGCTCCCGCTCCCTTCAATTTGTTCCAAGAGGTTTGCGCCATTAGCTGTCATGCGGAAATAATTTAGCCATTCGTTGATATCTTTCGATTTTCCGCTGAACGGAGGAGAAGTGTACCGCACACTTTGGTACCCCGTCGCTGGGGTTGTGGCTCCGTATCCAAAGCCAACAGCAGCACCACCATCTCCCATGGCACTACTATAATCTTGGTTGTGAGCAGCGGCTACTCTCACCTCTTGGGGGACAAAGCTCCCTGCTTCGCCACTGTGTCGCCCTGACGGGCCAGACTCTCGAACAGGTTCGCGCGGGTACCTCCCGTCCTGCGGTCCACTCCTTCGGCGTTCGTGGACTCCGCGGCGGCGCTCTCCCTAGCATCGCCGCGATCAGCGGCACCCTCCATGGTGCCAGCTGGCTCCTCCTTCTTGCTTGCCTTCATGGTATCTTCCACTAGCGACATTAGCTGGCTCATCTGATCCGTCAGCGAGCTAATTTGCGTCCTCAGGGCCACGAGCTCTTCTCTTGACCTCTTTCTGTCTTCCGCCGAAGAGTCGCTGGAGGAGTCACACCCATCTTTGCGACCTGACATTCCTAATGGACTCTCCCTCGAGTGACTGACACTAGTGTGTTCGTATATGTCCTATACTTGGAAGGGGGAGACGTTTTATCTATTGTATTAGACACGCAAGGGGAGTAGGGAGAAGTGAAGCCCTCTTTGGAGTTCGAGAAGTCCCCGCACATGCAACCATTTCAAGGTGCACATATGCCCCATCTGCGTGCCCTCTGTTGTTGCCGGTAGATCTAACCAGTCCGTATCCAAACACACGAACACGTTCACTCAGATCACCAGTTGCAAAGCGGTTGAATCGGGATACTCTGTCCATCCTTCCATCAGTCGATCCATGCAATGCTGGGGTAAGATGAAGCAACTTTGTTGCTCGGACAAGTTGGAGTTGTCTTTCAACACGTGCTGCTCCATATCTTTCCGCTGCAAGAGGAGACAGATCAGAGGTACTCTGACTTTTGCTGATCCATGTGTACAGCTCCAAATGCTTGCACGAAGAGGATGACGACATGTTGGAAGTGTTTGCAGAATACTAGACGGATTCCACCTCGGAAAAAAACGCACGCAAAAAACGTGTTTCGCCAAAAAACCGTGTTTCGAGGTTCCGCCGCCCCTTTTGGTACGAATTTCTGCAGTCCAGCTCGTCTGTTTTTCCTGCCATTTGGTGCGTTTTTTTTTCCGCGTTTGAAAGAAACAAACTTCATGCGCGCACACGCACACATTCACCTTACTCCACGACACGTACTCCGAGAGCACAGCTATCAATCCCTGAGGCAACTGGTGTGGAACCGGCACGCGTTGGGGTCATTTCCGGTGAACGGTTGTGTTCAAAAGAACGTACTGTGAGCGTGCGTGGTGGGCGTGGTTGGGACAGCTTTTTACCCGCACCAATGACCGCGGTAGCCGCCTCTCCTACGGCGGACTTCGTGTGTATCCCCGCCCCTTGAGGGAGGTAGCGAGTCATCAGTCACACCAGCGGTCAAGTGCTTGGAAGTCAGGGTTAGCACAGTTCACCCGGCGGCGTGGTTCGAGTTGGGAGAGTGGTTTGAGTTGGGAACGTAATTGATTGGAGTTGCCGCATTGCCACTACCGCCAGGACGAGGAAAAGCTCCTCCTCTCCAGCCACCGCACACAGCAGAGCCGCCGTAATCATCTGCATGATTTGGCCATGCCTCTCATGCCGAATCTTACCACGCTGTAGGCGCGCCATTTGCTTCAGGACGTCAACGCGCGTGCCAACATCACGTCAAATCACGCCGCCGCATGTTCCGTGTTTGCGGAAATTAAAAAAAGACGGGGGACGGGGTTCCGAAAAAATATCAAGAGCACGGGGAGGGGTTCCAACCGGCACTAGCGGGGAGACAGCGGAACACGATTTTTCAACCGTCACTTTCTGAAACGCGTTTTTCCAAACTTATGGTCCGCGCTGTCTACAAATATATGGGAAAGGTAGCTATACCTTCTCCCGACACACGGGCCAGAGAGGCGACCATACCCACTGCATTTAACACACACCCACATGTCAGTGATGAAACCCCGACCACACGCCTCTATGGGCGGCCACGTCAGGAGGCAATGATGAGATGTTCTCCCGTGCCCTTCTCACATTTAACGACATGCCATTACACAAGATAAATGTGTTCTCCCGCGCCGCACATGCTCCCATACATCACACACAAAAAATAAGTTGATGACGAAAATATACACACCCCGAGATGCGCTTGCTCCGCAACCACATAAGGGTGCCATATTAGAACACCTGACAAACCGAGTTCCCCTAAATCTTCCGTCTACAACTTCCCAACATAACATGCAGATAGATACACAAGATGGCTACCACACTGCTTTGTTGAGCCTGTTACCCACAGGGGAGACATCGCTGTATGCTGTCTGGGAAACCGTAGACATACAGGTAGCCTTTCGCTCACGCTATGGATTCATTGCTAATCTATCTTAGACATATTTCTATTGATAGAGATGGATTTGTTGTGTCATATTAAGAAAAAAATAAAAACGCGTTTTTTGTCGTAATTTAGGTGGAATCCCTATACTTTCGCCAGCTGCGGATCGACGTGTTTGACTGTCGAAAAAACTGACGTTTCAAGAGTATCTTCTCGAACCTGATCCAGAGCACTGCTGGCGTTGTTGAGTCCCACGATAATATGGAGTTGCCGCCTGTCATCATCATCCCCTTGCGATGACTGCAACGACCCAGAAAGAGATGGAGACGATGTAGTACCTGATTCGCAACAATGCTTGGTGCGTGGAGAGACAAGGTCGCCGCATGTATGTGCCACATGCGGCGTAACCAGGTGCTAGGCTGCTCGAGCGTAATGATCCAGGAGGAGACAAACTGAGTAGTAGCTCCTTTCCTCGACCTTTAGACTATGCTAACGTTTTTGGTGTGTAGCCAGATTCATTCCTCGCCGTCAGGTTCGTTGATCCTTCGCTGATGCAGAGGGGACATGAATACCGTACTTCCGTTGGGGATCGTGGCGCAAGTCCAGGTACGGGTAATGGTACCAAATCTTGGTTCATGACACCACTCATCGCCGATGCGACTGGAGGCTCCAGTGCAAAGCGATTCTACGCCAGTACATCAGTCTACCGCTGCTGCTGCTACTACCTTCCACCACGCTACTGAGCGTGCGTGGTGGAAGTGAGTGGTGATCTCACACGAATGTGTGCGCGCGTGCGTGCGTGTGGTCGTGAATTTTTCTCTGCCTGTCTTACCTTGCCAACGGTGGTCGTGCCAACGCTGGTCTTGCTTCAATTCCGCATACGCTGAGCTGCCCACAACGATCTGGCGTAGTAAGTCTCCAAAGCACAGCTGTCAGAAAAGTGTTTGTGCGTGGTGTTTCTCCGCTTATCGGGTGGGCGACAGTCCCGCTGATCAAGGCGAGACGCGATACCAACAGCGTCAAATTTTCTTGCTCGTACATAGCAAGTAGAGGAATCCTAAACAGTTTGTTTATGTGTTGCGGTTTTGCCCAGATAGACCAGATATGTTGTGCTTGGTCATCGCTGCTTTACCGAAATTGATTGCTCGCACGCCATCATGTGAGTTCCCCCAACGCGTATTTATGTTCGAAAGCTTCGTATATCTCGTTCCGTTGGCATCAATTATCAACTACGTTGGATGGTGGGCATCTTGCTGCATGCCCGACGCATGGCCTCGCGAATGAAAGAGCCCCGGTAGAACCGGTACATGGAGCTGTGTGTCGCGTCCAGCACAGAGGAATAAAGATGTAGCAAATACGATCCCTGCTGTGCTGCGTATCTCCTCGCGTGCGTGGAGCAGAGGCGCCACAACGCCCGCTGCCCCGGATGGTCGGTACGGTGCCGGCCCGCACTTGAGAATATGGCACTTAAGAAAGAACTTGATGCCAAAAAAATCCAAAACTTAAGAACTTACCGATAAGAACACGTGCTCAGCTGCACGGCCTGTTAGGAACAAGAACACACACTTGAGGTGCAAAACTGCTGCTACAAATAAGAACGACAGCAATGCAGCGGCTGCCAGATACAAATACTCCCAGGGGGAGGGAGGGACGAGGGGGGAGTGATCAGAGTACAGAGTATTGGATTTGGGAGGGGAACACACCCCACATATCAACGTTTGTATTTTTTAGAGAGGAAGGGTGGGCATTGTACGCACGCGTCGTGCCCCTGGGTGCCCCCGAGAAAAGCGTGAGCTCCCCAAGGCAAGGTCCATTCTTATCATGGACAACTTGCGCGCGCAGACCACGGACGAGTTCAAGGAGTATCTTGCGAAGCACTGCAACACTCTCGCCTGGTATGGCCCTTCGGAGTGCACGGACGAGGTGCAGCCAGTTGATGCAGGAGCCGGACGATTTCTCAAGGTAGAAGTCGGGAGGAAGATGGACATATGGCTCGAGCAGTCGGACAACCTCGAGAGGTGGGAAACCGCGTCGCTGACAGCTTCTGATCGGCGCGTGCTGATCACTCAGTGGATGGGAGCAACCATGGCAAGACTCAACAGCCAACAGGCGTACCGATACCGTCTTTTCGAAAAGTGCGGGATGGCCATGACCGTGGACGGCTCGGGCGATGATCGAATCACCTTGGAGGGTTTGGACAAGCCGTATACCCTCGCTAACGATCAAGACAGTAGCGACGACGAACAAGGTTCGGAGAACGGCAACGATGAGCCTGAGGGGCGGGCGGAGGAGGGCGATGGANCAGCATGGACCCACAAGACCCGGAGGATGAGATACAGGGAATGGAGATCCCGGCAGGCTTTCGTATTCAAGAAGCTAAATCCGTTGCTCTTGGCAGATTGCTTTTGCGGCGTGGAGTGCTCGTTAGGCTGGGCATGGGGTGGTTTGGAGGGTTGATCACTCAACAATCTCAGAAGGACACTCTCCACCTGTACGACTACTGTGTGCAGCTGGAGCTAAACCAGAATACGCGCAAGATGAAGTTGCCCTTAGACAAGTACAGCGGAGATTCGAATGCGGCTGTAGGCTCCTATTTATTTTTTCTTCTTAGTATCACACAACAAATCCATCTCTATCAATAGAAATATGTCTAAGATAGATTAGCAATGAATCCATAGCGTGAGCGAAAGGCTACCTGTATGTCTACGGTTTCCCAGACAGCATACAGCGATATCTCCCCTGTGGGTAATAGGCTCAACAAGGCAGTGTGGTAGCCATCTTGTGTATCTATCTGCATGTTATGTTGGGAAGTTGTAGACGGAAGATTTAGGGGTCCTCGGTTTGTCGGGTGTTCTAATATGGCACCCTCATGTGGTTGCGGAGCAAGCGCGTCTCGGGGTGTGTATATTTTCATCATCAACTTATTTTTTGTGTGTGATGTATGGGAGCATGCGCGGGACGGTGTTGTGTAATTGCACGTCGTTAAATGTGCGAAGGGCACGGGAGAACATTATCGCATCATTGCCTCCTGACGTGGCCGCCGAGAGACTCGACAGGCGTGTGGTTGAGGTTTCATCACCGACATGTGGGTGTGTGTTAAATGCAGTGGGTATGGTCACCTCTCTGGCCCGTGTGTCTGCAGAATGTATGGCTACCTTTCCCATTTGTAGACAGCGCGGACCATGAGTATAGACAGAGTGTATCATTCATTCGTCTACATCAGTTGTATGTGGAAAGGGAGGAATGAGAGGCTGTTCAATTTTGACGGTGTGTGTATGGGTAGGGGGAGTACTCCCTGTGTCCGTGTTGTTCCCAGATGTTGTCGCATCAAGTGGCAGCATGTGTCATGGACAAGTAGACGTGGAAGGGCAGCGACAGGTGAACGGCAGCATGTTGTGCATGGTGGCATGTTGGGCTTGTACAAAGATGCAGTCCATCTTCGACCACACACAAAGTAATTTGTTCGTACCTGTCGGAGTTTTGGAGGGCCCAAGTCAGTCACAAGCAGCAATAGGAAGGAGCGAACAGGCGCAGTGCTTCTCTACAGCTTTAGACTCCGTCCTCCTCAAATCCTAATGGAGATGATTACGTATCGCACAACGGCTGGATCCGAATTGCCGGCTAGCTCCGAAAACCAGGAGAACTGGGGGAGTAGCTCAGACGAATGGCTGCGTGTGCGCTCCTTCATGTGCATACTTGGCTGACTCTTTGAAGGATAGAATTCTGGTTCAGTGGCATTTTGGCGGCATTTCGGCATTTCCGGTATTTGCCGTTGTCACCTGCATGCATGGGACACGTAAATTTGTCACTCTACTTGCCAGGGACACGTTTCATTTCAGTGTTACCCCTTGCGGTTTTGCTTGAGAGCATTAGTAGATCAGGAAGGGTACGCAGGACCAACGCCACCCTTGTGGACCAAAAAGGTTGACAGTTTCTGCTCCATTCCTTGGTATTTTCTTGTATCGACAGCAGTACTAGCGTTGCTCATGGTTGACAGCCGACAATATAGCAAATGATGTTAATATACAATAAGAACAAGAACGCCCCTTTCTGGAGAAGAATGGACGACGAAATAAGAACTTGGCACATAAGAACTGGTGCTCGGGTTGGGGCAGTCAATAAGAACTGAGCCTCGCCCAATATAGGAGGTTCTTAAGTGCGGGCCGGCACTGTAGTTGACAGTCCCGTTCCAAAACAAAAAAATTTAGGGAGGTGGGCACCAGCACCAAAGAGCTGGGTAAAAAGCACGCCCACATAGCAGCAGGAGCAGCAAGGGCGTCCATTCCCGAGCACGCTTACTGCCCTCTTATGCTCGGTATCCACACTCCATTTTTGTGTGCAACGTCAAACAGCGCTGCGGCGCTGGTGCGTGTGTGCTGCTGCCTCGGGTGGCGGGCATGGTCTGAAGTTGCGTATATTCGTATATTCGACTATTCGCCACTCACTGGCTCGGCCGGTGACAAATCGAAGAAAGGAAGGACCTTCGGTGCCCCCCGGCCCGCCGGCACCCGAGCTTTGCAAGGCCGCGGCTCGGTGACCCCGGAACGTCTCGAGGCCGCAGCGTGCGCGTTAGAACGCGCACATCCAGCTGCGTCGTGTGCAACAGAAAGCAAACAAGATTTTGCAAGTCTCGCGGAGATCTCGGCGCCGAGCGCGGAGAGGCGATGCTTGGCGGGCTTCCGCGAAATCCTTCCCCGCCGTTGACTTGAAGAGAGAGAGCGTTGGGTCGCGCAATCGCGACGCCGCCGACTCTCCAACGCGATGTCTCGACGACCTCACCGGCTACGGAGGTCGCGGCGGGCGCGTTAGAACCGGCGCGTTCCGCCGCGCGCCGTCGGGCGGAAAGCAGAGAGAATCTGCGTTCAATCAAGCCTCGGCGAGTTCGCGACGCAAGACGCCCGCGTGCGAGCGCGGCCGAAACTTTCCCCGCGGTTCACTCGACGAATGAACTGGGGGCCCCGCGGAACCGCAAGGGTCCCGGGCTTCCACAGCCGTAACTCCGCGACCCGACCGGCCCCGCAAGCCGCAGCGGGCTCGTAGGGAATCGTACATTATGGCGCGTCTCGTGCAGCAGGGGGCAAATAATCTAGTTTCAACGCGCGCGAATTCGCGGCGCGAGGGGCGTCATCCCGAAATTTTCCCCGCGGTTCACTGGACGAAAGAACGGCGTCCCCGCGGAACCGAGGCATCTCGGCGCTTCGAGCGGCCGCAGCTCCTCGACGGCGCGGCGCCCGTAGGCCGGAGAGGGCACGGCGGGAGGCGCGGGACGCGGGCTCTCGCCTCCGCCCTCGAAGGAAGGAAAAACTCGCGGGCCTCGCGGAGATCGGCGCCGAGAGGCGGCCGCGCGGGGGCAGATGAACATAGATATATATGTATACATAAATATTGTGTCTGATTTGCGTTCCATACATACGCTCCGCTTCCGGCTCCACCCGTCCTGGCACTTTACTCCCGGCATCATTCCACGGTTCCCCAGCCAAAAGACAATCAAACACCAACGACGCCCTTGCCATAGTCAACAGACTTGGTCGTCCGCACATCTTCGCCACGGTCACCTGCTCTACCGAGTGGCCTGAGATCGTAGAAAATCTATTGCCTGGCCAAAGTGCTTATGATCGCCCGGACTTGTGCTGTCGCGTTTTCAAGATTAAGTTAGCTCAAATAATGGCCGATACAAAAAGGGGGTAGCGTGCTTCCCGGCCATGATTATGACCTGTACACAATCGAATTTCAAGCTCGCGGGCTCCTCCATACTCGCATCGTAATTCGTTGCAATGGCGACGGTCCAAATGCACCAGGCCAAATGGACCGTTGGATTTCGGCTCAACTTCCACATGAATCCATCGCTGGCGGAGAGTTACGAAGACTGGTTCTAAGGTACCACGTGCACCACCCGTGCGGCTCCGTTAATGTTAACTCCCCCTGCATGCGCAAAGATCCATCGACAAATAGAGTTTCGTGCAGCAAGCACTACCCACAACCGTACCGGGCATCCGCAACAGTCAACGAACACACAGGTAGAGCGGAATATCGACGCAATGACAAATGGTTACCGCCCATCAGTGCGATAAAAAATCAATGGTGTTTTCCGAGACGTTCCCATCAGCAATCAATGGATTGTACCTTAGACTACAACGCATACTTTCTTCTCAAATTACTGTGAATGCCACCTCAGACTATCGTAGATTGTGACGTCAGATGACCTGTCGGAGATCTACCTTCGGGGTGTTACCACAGATAGAGTCAGTGCAGGTTGGATGCTGAACCTTGCTTCACAAGGTTGATCCCCACCTGCCACACACACCACCACACACTCGGCCGAAATCGACCTAGTGAGTCCCTCGCGGGCGAACCAGGCCACAACAGAGCTAGTAGAAGTGGAAGATAGGGGCCAGAGGGGCAGACGACAGAGTCCAATGATGGGAGAAAAAAAGAAAGCAAAAAAAGAAGATAGTAGGCGGGTGGTGTCCCAAGGTGCAACTCACCGCCGCGCTGGCTCAGCGTGGCGGTGAGGATGCACCGACGGTGGTAGTGGCGAGAGGTGTGTATGGACACTGTTCCCGCGGCAGTAATGCACAGCGGCAAACTGCACCTGGCAGCCACCGTCGCGGAAAGCGTGGACCACGAAGCTGGAGGAGTAGAGAGATTCATAAACACCACGTCAGTAAGCACCGCTCGCGGGAGAAGGGAGACAACCGTGGGCACCGCGGGGAGGGAGTGCTGCACCCTCCTCGTCAAAACACCACAGGCAAGAACCGAGCTCTGCAGAGATGGATTAATGCGAGGAAATTCGCCGCTCGGAAAATACGGAAGAAAGGACACCCGCAACGCGAGGTAGACCGAGAGAGACACGAGACTGCAGCGGCCGTCAAGGCGGATGTGAAGAAGAAGGCACGAGAGGGCGACCTATCGTTCGGCACGTTCAACGTACGCACGCTCGCCTACAGCGGTAGGAACCCCATCGGTCAAGACGTGATGACGGTCATGCAGATTTTTTCCGCGACCGACTGTGATGTGATAGGACTTCAGGAGCCCCGACGAGAGGGGCAAGGTTCAATTGCACACGACGGGTACGTGATCATCTGGAGTGGCGCCCGTGCTGGCACCAAGGACAAGAGGGGCGTACACGGTGTGGGCATAGCGATCAAGGAGGCCATGTGGGAGAGTGTGGGCGAGGAAGGTAGGACGGTGGTTAGCCCGAGGCTGATGAAGGTGCGTCTACAAATTGGCCGCATCTGCGGAGTAACTTTCGTGGTGGGGTACGCCCCCACGGAAACTGTCCGCACCACCGCGGGCGGTGATGTTAACGCCAAGGACTCCTTCTGGACTGCTCTCGACGCAGCGATCCGGGAGGTTCACAGCCGTGACCATCTCGTGGTGCTAATGGACGCCAACGCACGCACTGGTAGGAGGCGAGACGGGTGCTGCGATGCCAAGATTATGGGCGCGTACGGACTCGACATTATGAACAACAACGGGGAACGACTCCT